TAAAATGTGCTTTTTAAGTTTAAAAGTGTTTGTTAAAATGGGACTTTATAAATAGATTAGTAAGATTTGCAAACAAAAGCTCTAAGAAAAATTAGGATTCATTATGATTTGAAGTTCATTTTTTAAAAAAGCTTTAACTTTCTCAAAAATTGAACAATTTGTTTAAAGTTTAAAACAAAATTTTAAATATTAATTTTAAGAATATATCTTCGGTACAAGAATCTATCAGACACAAAGGAACTCATTTGACACTTTTTAAAATAAAAAGCATTAAACTATTAAATTTTGCAGATAAAAAGAAACTGAAGTAAAAATAATGACATGTTTTTCAAGAGGTACTGGTTCCTAAAAACCTCCCCAAATCAAGAAACAGACTGTGAGAAAGGAGGCAGGGCTTCCGGGGTTCTGGTTTCTATTTTAGGCAGCCCCATTCACCTGCCCGAAAGATGGGCAGAGGGGCCCTCAGGTTACCTCCCCATACCCCTTCTGCCTCCTCCTTCTTTGGCCTGTAGGATTTTCTCAGGGTTTGCAAGTTTCATTCTGTCTTGCAATCACATCCCTGTTGTTTCTACCGTCAAGCCTCTGCCATGACTTTTCATGGTAAATGTCCCAAGTTTTAATGTTTCTTCATCTCTGCTTGGCTGGGCCTCACTGTCTAGCTTCCCGCAGGTGATACATATTCTGAGGAAAGGCAGTGAGAAGATGGTATAAAAGGAGGACAGACAAAAATGGTTTCACCAGTTAGATGTCCAAACAGATGGAAAAGAAAATGTGTTGAGAAATATATATGGGAAAATTTACTCAAAATGAAGAATTGGGTCAAGTAATGGAAAGAGCAGGTAGGACGGAGAAACAGACACATGGTTTTAATCAAAGTAACTTGCTTCTTATGTCCAAGTGTAACTCTGGGGAGATGAAATCTGGAGGCAAAATACCAGAATCAGTCAAAGGGAGAAATAATGTTTAAAACCCATTTATTGCTTACAAACTGCGGTCTGGGGCCATTTCTCTCTCCTGCTCTGGCAGAAGCAACCAAGGCCTCCGCCCAACCTCTCAGGTTCTGATAAGCCTTAGGTGCCCAGGTAATTACCCAATGATATGGAGATGAATTACCTCTCTCCACAGCTGAGGAACACCTGTTGATGTGCAGATGCACTAAAGTCAGGCAAGATATTCTGGAAATGTTACAATACCCACACCAAGCCTGAAGAAAACACATAACCACATTCAGTGAGATAAAGTTACTGATTAGATTAGCACAAATCAGAGGTGACAATACGTGTTGTCAAGGGGCATGGGGGACAGGTGCATTCATAAACTGTTAGAAAATTGCAAACAGACTGACCTTTCAGGATGGCAGCTTGCTGTGCCTAGCAGTCTCTGGTTTCCCCAGCCACTCAGCCAAGGGGTGCACTACACAGTGACCTGTTCCCTCTCGGCCCTGCTCTCCTCCCTTCCAACTGTGTTGTGCATATTACTGTAGGGCCTTAGCCCTGTTTCCATGATGAACCTTCCCAAGGACTTAAAAGAGAGAACAGAATCGTGAGCTTCCTAGTGCCCATCACCCAGTGCCAACAATTACCCACATTTTGCCACCTTCTGTCTTCTCTGCTGCCCACTCCTCCCCCATTTTTTGTAACTGTGTGGTTTTTTTTATTAATCAGAAGGCTAAATTCTTTTTCTACAGGATAGAGCCTGTTATGGGCTGAATGTTTGTCTCCCTCAGTTCACGTACTGAAGCCCTCCCCCACGGTGTGCTGGTCTCTGGAGGGCAGTAGGGCTCGATGACATCGTGAGGGTGGGGCCTCCCTGAAATCCGCATCCCTGAGAGACACAGGGCTGCTTGGGCCCCATCCCCGTCCCTCTTCCTCCACCTGCAGTGAGGACAAAGCTAGTGGGTGGCCTCTGCACCAGGAAGGGCTCTCACCCAACGCTGACCCTGCACACTGCGGTCTGGGACTCCAGCCTGTGGAGCTGAGAATACATGTCTGTGGTTTCGGCCCCTGCATCCGTGGTGTTTTGTTAGCCCGCAGAGCTAACCCAGCCCAGGTGAGCTTCAAGATTCAGGCCCGTGCTCCCACGTGCCCCCCTCAGCAACACCTGAGGACTTTGGCTTCCTGATTCTGCAGGACGTCCCCTCGAGATCCCTCCTCCAGGCCACGTGCACCTGGTGATGCTCGGCTTGGGCATCGTGTCCCACACCCCTCTCCCCAGACAGCTCCCTCCTGTCACTGACTGGGCCCCCCACCTCGAGACGGCTTTCCACAGCCTCCTTGCGGGGCTATAAATGAGGGAGAGGTCAACGGTCTTTCATCATCTTTGAACTGTGGCCCAGGCTCAGGCCTAGCAGATAGAAGGTGTTTACACTGATGCTGATACTCTAGGAGGACCACAACTGTAGCTGTTAATTTTTAAAATCCTGGTCTGTTTCAGATCCCCTCCAGAAGAAAGGCAGGAGGAGGAGAAGGTTGGAAGGTCAGGGAGAGGTGGCGGCACAGCCAGAGTGCTGAGTGTAGCTGGTCTTCTCTGGCTGCCCCATTATGCTCCATGAGCTGTGGAGACCATTCAATACTGGTGTTGCCAAACGACAGCTCACACAAACCTGGCTGCCTCTGTGTAAGGCCTACAACTAAGAATGGTTTTAACATTTTTAACAGGTTGTTAAAAAAAAGACCATGCAGCACTGTATGGTGCAAAGCCTAAAACATTTCCTATGTGACCCTTTCCCGGTAAGTGTGTCACCTCTGCTTTAACAGATCAGTTGTGGTATAGCTGGTGCGTCACGCATCATCCCTGTATGGGAGAGTAAGTCCTGGGGTGTTTTGAGCCCATTTCACAAACCTGCCTGCCTGCTGTGTGCAAGGTATGGGGCTGTTGTCTGACAGCACTGGGTGCATAGGGGAGCCAGGGGGCACCTCCTTGGGTCTTGAATCTAATTGAGAGACAGGCAAGGGGACATAAACCATTGATCACATAGCACCTGATTGGAAGCAGAATCAGAAAATCCACACACTAACCAGCTGATTTTATTAACTGGCTGCCAGTAAACACTAGGGCAAGAATCTGTAATAAGCATGACTGCACTTCTGATTAATGTACGGTCTCCTCCAGCCCGGGGCTATTTATGTGTAACAGGTCTAAGAGAACACATCTAGAAAGATGCCAGAGTTCAGGTGACAGGAAAGACATAAGAGGAGGTAAAAATAATTACCTTATTTAACTCAAACATATTAAAGCACTTTAAGAATCTCACAGAAATGAAAGCAATACAAATGTCCATGAATCACATGTGATTTATCAGATCAGTTTCTGGAAATCCACCTTAAGAAAACAACACAGAATACAAAAGGAACTACAGGCACACAGATGTTCCCAGCAGCACTTCTTAGAAGAGCGCCTGGGGTGTGACAGACCCAGACCACGGCGCGGGGCGTAGTCACAGCACTGCCCCCGGACGGAGCCCTCAGGATCCGCGAGTCTGAGACATGGAGCTGCACCCGGTGTTGTTCATTGCTGCTTTCCAGCCTTTGCAGTGGCCGGAGAACGAGACAGGCCAACGGGACTGCTTCCAAGGGAAAACCTTCATGCACTCTAAAATATATTCCTATTCATTTTTATAGAAACGGAATTTTCAACTCTCTGGCATTAGCAGCCCAGGAAAATGCATCTTGTGGCTTCACAATCTATCCCGTCCCACGTCACAGGGGTTCCGTGGGCCACGGTTTGAGAAGCAGCTATTAAATAAAAAAAAAAACCCCAGCAGGATAGAAACTGTATGTACATGCATGGTTACATATAAGTCCACCCCCTCTGGGGAAACATGTAAAATATTACTAACAGCTGGGTTAGCACAGTGGATCTTAGGTGTTCTTATTATTCTCTACTTTGTTTTTGGTAATGTGGTTTCAGTACTTTAATAATAAGATGATTAGAAGCATCTTGCTGAGTCACTAAGCCTTTTGGATGGGGAAAAAATCTGACGCAGATGATCACAATACTACTTTTCAGTACTACGCTTTCAATTTAGCTGTCCTTACTTGTACTCATTTTGAGAAATGCAGCATTATAAAAATATGAATCATAAGTTACAAATACACCATATGCTGCAGACTGACTAGAGGCCAAGGGCCAGAATTCAAATGAAATTAAATAAAGCCCGTGAGTTTGGACACAGGAACAAAGGGAAGTGTGAGAACAAAACATGGAAACTTCTGTGCAGACAGACAGACACTCTGCTTTAGGCCATGACATGTTGCCCCAACAAACTAAGGTCTTTTATCTCAGCTCTGGGAACCAGCAATAATCCCAGGCAGATTCACTTCCTATGGGCACTTTGCCTCGGGGTGCCGACGCCCTGGAGCACTCTCAAGCCTGCTCACACAGCTTCCCCTGGTCCCAAGGCATGTGCTACCTTAGCACAACTGCTGGAAGGTTCTCTGGCCACCCCAGGAACCCTGCGTAGTAGTCTGCTCCCCACCTGCTGTGCCATCTGGGACAAAGCAGCTGCTGGACCTGACGGAATGCCCGCCCCTCTGCACCCCATCACTGAAAGCTTCCTGGGTCGAACAGGATTCCTTTCCTTCTCTGAGAACACCGTAATTCCGTAATTTCTTCACAATGCAGGAGTTAAAATTAGTAAAACTCCCATTTTGAACTGATCAAGAACTAAGTCTGTGAAATTTGAAGTCACTATTAATCAACATCTAGCTGGTAAACCACATAAACCCTGAATGGACCTGGGCCTCAAAACAGTAGAATCACGCTGACAGCACCTACAACTCTGATTTTATGGATTTTGAGGACCTGGGCCTCAAAACAGTAGAATCACGCTGATAGCACCTATAACTCTGATTTTATGGATTTGTCCAGAGAGCCACTACTTTATAATGAAAGAAAAATCCTTACACATGAGTGTTTCTAAATACACACTGAAAATCAGCAGAGCGCTGCTAATTCACCACTTGCTCTTAAAAGGAAGCAGTTACACACCTCAGGCCTCATGACTGTGGAGTGGATTTTATTTTTGCAGGCAAGAACACAGCAAAGCCAGCGTTGAGTTAATTTTTAAACTGAGCTCTCAGTGGCGAGGTGACTCTCGTCCTGAGGAGGGCTGAGGCATCCTGAACTTGGTGAGGTCCAGGTTGAGGTCTAGGAAGGTGTACGTGCTGTAATCATGGTGCTGGAGGTTCCGGTAGGTGGTGTTGTTGAAGGTCCCCATGGGCGTGGAGGCCTGGGTGGGCTCTGTGGAGGAAACGCAGGCCTGTGAGGACAGCTGGTGAGGAAGTGCCTTTTGTGAGTCCACTCCTATGCACACACTTCCACACCAGGCATTCTCCATAACCCTATCTGTAGGGGACAAATCGTCTACTTAGAAAAGAAAAGCAAACAAAAGCAATGGTATCTTTGAAAGCAAAATAAAGGAATTAGCTGAAAACTTATTCTAAATCACAGTCTTAACAATGTAAGAAATGGAACAGTTACTACGATGTGTCTTAACATCCTATTCTGTATACTTTTAGGGCCTGGGCTTCTCAGGATTTTCAAAATGCCTAGAACAATTATGGAAGGACTTTCAGGTCACTTTAAGATGTGGGGAAGAAAAAAGATCTATTAGGAATCTGTCTATAATAGAAATAATCATTTACAGAAGAAAAGTTTCAAAAGTAAAAAGTGAGCCTAAGTCTCTGAATACAAGAGAATTAAATAAACCCAACTGTTTTATAACACAGTGAATTGAAGGGAACCAGACATGAGATGTAGTTTTTGATTTAACTGTTTTTGAAAAAGGTGTTGGTACACTTCAGATTCAAGGACTAAAAAAAAAAAAAAAGAATTCAGCTTTATTTCTTTAAGAGGAAAAAGGAGTAATTAAAAGCCATACACCCACATTTGGTGACCTTAAAGCCAACAGTGTGAAGCAGTGAAGGTAATACTCTCTCCGGCAACACGAGCAATGCAGGACAAGCAAGGGGGCATGTTAAAAACTTACTGATCCCAAGCTTCTGCCATTCACTCTCAACTTCTACTCAGGCTGCACAAAAAATAACCTAAGTAGTTTTCCACTATATTAATTCATAGTAAAGTTTGTTTTCCTTTTTATTGTATTAAACAAAAATGGCACCTTATTTAAAGCACTGACACCTCCCTAACCTCAATGAGTAGTGTCTCCCGTGTGGTGCAGGGACAGCTTCAAACTGGCATGAAATACCAGTCATACAGGGAAGATGGCAACAGAAAAGTGGGTTTAGAAAACCCTTATCAAAACCCAATCCACCTGGAAGGTAGAAGGCAGGTGGCTGGGGCGGGAGGGCTACCCAGAGGCACTCAGTCCACCTGGCACAGACATGAGCATGCAAGTGGGGTGTAGCCCTGGCTAGCGACTCTATTTCATCTCCAAAGGGCAAAGAATACTGAAAAAAAAAAAACCACATCCATGAAAAACTAGAAGCAAACTGTCAAAAGGTTTGCAATATGAAATCTCCAAATTCTCTGTTCTCATCCTGAAGGTCTGGGCATTCTCCTATCTATGCAGAATGACTGAAAAGGTAGCAGCAGGAAATGTAGTTCTTGGCATCTTGAGGTCTGAGAAGTGCTGGCACTTTGCACAGAAATGGAAGAGGGAAAACATGGAGAAAACACATAAATTCTGTCAACGTGATACAACTAAGAACAGTAATAATGACTAGGTCATGTCCATCAGGCGAGGAGGAGGCTTTGAAAACAACAGGGAACCAACAGCAAGGAGCTGATTTGTTAATAATGCACTTAAAAGATATCTTGAAGAGCCAGAGTCTAAAACTGGAGGACTCCTGGACTGTTTGCCATGACCTACCTAAAGCATGTATTTTATAAAGTTTAGTGTGCAAGAAACTGCTAATGTAACAGGAATAGTTTCCCTTTAAAAATTAATGGTAGCCAAAAAAGCCCTTCATAAAAAAATCAATTTAGGAAAATAAAGCTTCTTTCAGGAAAACCAAGAAAGGAAACTTTCCCATGAAAAGATTTACGCAGGTCATAGCTGCCTCCACGTACTTAATGGCTTTAATTCCTACAAGGCTATTCCTAAAGTTGGACTGTCCCTGAGGCATCAGAATGCCAAAATGAGCACCTGTCTAGCCCACTTGAAGGCCTAACACCGTGCAGCCCTGGGAGTCCAACCAGACCCCTTCACTGAGTGAGAGGCTCTGTGCACTCAGGAAGTGACCGCTTGGACACTTCAGACCTGAAGGGCAATCATGCCAGACCACCAGCGTTCAACTGGATTTGTTAAAGAGCGGCAGGAGCGCCAAGGGCAGACTCACTGGGAAGTCCCCTGAAAAAACTTTAGGGTCTGTCCCTGGGTGTGTGCTATTCAAACTTAGGATAGACTCCTCTGCTGACAGGAGACAGTGTTACAGGCTGTATTTCTACTGCAGAATCGGATTAACTCAACACTTGCTTAGATTGTATAGGTCTTCAGAGTCTAGCCACCCTCAAAGGACAGGAGAGGCCCCAAGCCCAAGTCAAGGTGTACCCTGCGCGGTGTCCTGGCCCTCCGCCTGCGCGGCTGCATCTTCAATGGTTCCGCCCTGGCCCTCAGGTGCCGGTGCCGTTAGTCTGTCATCAGGAAAGGCTTTAGTATGAACAGGAACTGGCTTCAAGTTTTCTATGCGTATATGATCCTCTGAAATCTCTTCTTTAGCCTTCAGAATTTCTTCCGTTACCTGCTTCCCCGAATTTTCTTTTCTGGGCAGGGAAAAAGCCACCTCTGTGCCAGGTACTAGCTCTTGTTTTTCCCGAAGTCTCTCTCTGGTCTCAGAAGGAGCTGCCTGTTTGGTTTCTTCTGGCAGCTGAGAGGGCCTTGGGCCACCAGTGGGTTGTGTAGATAATCCTGGTTTTGCATGGCTAGGGAGGGTCTTTTTAAATGGCTTCTGGCTTTCTTTATCTACATCATGTGCTCTAAATAGTTTCTGCAGCTGTTTTCCCTTCACATTCTGCCTCATAAGCTCTTGACCCACTTGCGACTTGGGTGTTGGAGTTTTTGGTTTAGCACCTGTTCCGTCCTCTGATGGCTTAATGGTGGTTCCTTTCTTCTTTGCCTGGCGGGGCCTCTCTGAAGAGCTGAGGTCTGGCTGTGGCTGCTGTGACCAGGTCTTCCCTTTTCCTGATGCTGCATTTTTAAAGGACTGGGAGGCCTCTGGTTTTGGAGGCCCTCCTTTGCCTCTGACTCCTGAGCCACCACCCTCCTCATCAGACTCTGAATCGGAGGAGCCTGACGAAGATGATGAAGATGAGTTGCCCGGACCGCTCCTGCTCTGTGGAGGGGCTTCTGAATCGGAACCCTGTTTTCTGAATGGAGATGGAAATTTTTGAGGAAACTCTACCAAAGTCTTTCTTGACATAAACTTCGGAACCCCTTCATCTGCAAACAGCACGCTGCCATCAGGGTCAGGGCCAGCTACCTTCCCACCTGGATTCACAACTGATAGGTTAGAACTGGGTGAAGGTAAGTTTTTAGACAATTCAGCTGCTGTTGGGGTGGCTAGTAGCTTGCCCCTCTCCTTTGGTTCCACTACATCTAGGAAATGGCATAAAGAGGAATATTATTTTTAATATTTAGTAAAACAACCTAAATTCATCAAAGTCAAAGACATTTCATTACATATCAACTTGTTATTTATGATACTGTCAATGTAATCATTCTAGGAAACAGTTTCATGGAAACCCACTCTTAAGTGAAAGTCAAGCCATATGAGAACAGTAAGAAATGGCAGGTGTTTCTTTGTAGCAGAAAATTTTTTAAATGCGTATTTTTACCAATGGAAGTAACAAATTTGTCTCCATTTTTCATGAGAGCTTTGTGCTGATAGTTTTTAAAACTATTTCATCCAAACTTAAATTATGAAGATATTTTCAGATGACTACTGAAGTTTTAAAATTATAACTTCTTAAATTCCTAAAATACTGGTGCTTCTCAAATACTAAAAAAAGTTACTCATATTCTATGAACTTGAACATTTTGAACAAAGCAGCAAAAGAAAATTAGAGACATGAGCCTGGTTTGGGTTTGCGGTAAGCACAGACATGTGTTTAGGAGCTGGGGGCTGGACGGAGGGGATATAGGTCCAATGATGTGGTCGTGGAAGAAAGGAGTCCTTCAAACTGTTAGGCAGGAAAATATTAGTCTATTAAAGCTCAGAAGGCCAAGAGCAACTTGGCCTAGAAGTCTGAATACTCTCCAAAGAAAAGTTATCTCAGCATAGCCTATGCTTTCACTGTGTCAGTCAGCACATACCATTGTAAGATTTACTTTAACACCTGCTAAGAGGCACAGGTTATTCAGGAAAAATTCTATCTTAGAGCTAAGACTGCATTTTAATCAAACAGATGGTGGCTCAGCCCATCTTGGAGGCAGGGCAGACAGTCTTGATTGATATGCTTCCAGACAGAAACTGATATCCTGGAAAGGAATCAAAGCAGAAAATTTCTTGGGTTAAGTTAAAAGAAGAAACTTATGTCTTACCAAAGATGAACATTCTGGGACCATTTGGTAGGTCTGCACCTGGCCCTTTGTCGCTTTCCTGAAAATCCTCATCTGCCTATAAAACCCTAGGCCCTAAATCCTTAGGTGCACTCCTCTGTCTGAGGTCACCTGCATTTTCTAAGTGCGTAACTTTAATAAAACTTTCCCAACCTTTCAGCGCCTCCTCTGTGAGGTAGCTCACACTCCCCTTTCTCCGAGCGTGCACTTGTTCTCTTTAAATAAAACTTAAACCTCTCAGGGTGCCTCTCCTCCCTGAGGTTGCCCACACTTTCTAAGTGTGTATCTTTAAATAAAACTTTAACTCTGCTTCACTAAGAGTGAAGGCCTGTGTCAGCCCTTCAATCCTTTGCTGTGGCAGGAACAAGAACTGGGGAAAGCACACAACAGCCCCCTAACAAAAACACCCAGCGTTTGGGGATTTCTTCAGCTGGGGAACACGGAAGTACTACAAGACCAAAAAGTAAAATAAGTTAACATTATATGTATCATTGGAAACAACAGGCTTTAAACAGTTAAAAAACAACAGAATAGGCGCTAATTTAAGCCTTATATCTCGTAGTCAATTATGAAAAGAGTGAGACCACACAGGCTCCTGATCAGAGCTATCATTCAGTTTCCTTTAGTGGTATGTCTTTTCTAACCACACAGATAAGAAGAAAAATACAGGACAAATTTTTATAAATTGAAGTTATTTTTAAAATTTTGCTTAAATTTTAAAAGCAAAAATTTAGAAGTATATACTACTACAGATGAGCAAACTTTATACCCAGAGTATTTTTCAAGTCTAGAAGCCTATTTTATAAATAATAAAAATATTTCAATCCCACTTTTCTCATGTGGAAAGAGCATATTCCTAACTTTACTAATCTTACCAGTATCCAGAAAGGTTCTTAATTGATTTCTGAGCTGAGGGACCTATAATAGGATGACAGAAAATGAGAGGCACACCAAAAATAAAAAATGGGCCAGAGAGGTTAGCTGGCAGTGTAAAAGGATAGGACTGAACAGCAAGAGCACAGGGTGACTGCTTAAACCCCTACCTCTACGGCCACCACCATCAACACCACCGCCACCACGATCACACCCTCCATGACCACCATCACCACCTCCTCCAACACTCCCATCCATTGCCAGCAGCGCGCCCTCCTCAGGGCCATGTGCACAGCCCAGAATCTGCATCCTGACTGCCCAGAGCAGGTAGTGATGCAGGGAACTCTCATAACTCGCACAGAGCTCCAGGATCATGTAAAGTATAAAAATGAGGCAAGGGAGTATGCATGCACTTGAACTGTCTCCCTCCAAACCACACTTGACACAGTTCAGAAATCCCTAACGGCAGGTTTGCAAACCCTATTAGCCTGCCTACCTATACTATTCATCCACCTTTACGTTGAGCATGAATTTCCCAAGTATGAAAATTAACTTACAATAAGGCTTATTTAGATAGGCTGCTTTAAACAGAAAAATTTTAATGCCTGAATCTTCCAAAATTTGTCGTGGATGTTTTTGAAATTGTAAATAAGTTATAAAAACTTCATTATAAATGGAGAGAAAATTTCAAATGGGATTAACAATACTATCATTTAGAAATTTTGTACAGAAAAGAAACTTCTATCATATGAAACAAGAATGCTTTAAGGTTTCTTTTATTCATGCTAAGTTACTGGGAGAATTCCATGGAAAGGTAAACAGACTAACCTTCTGCTTTTTACTGATGGCCCACTTCAGACCTGCTGGAGCACAGGGACCCAGCATCCTCAGGTGACCAGAGGGAAGCTGGCCCTGATGGCCTGTGGCTGCCGCTAGTAACCACCCCCCGTGTCCAGTGTGCACACCGGGCCCACATTCCCCAGTGCAGAATGTCACCCGGAGGACAGCACGCATCTCCAGGGGTGATGGCTCTCACTTGGAATGCATGACTTTACCTGCTTGTTTTCTTGAAATCTCTTATATTTGTCTAGAGGCAGGGCACCCACAGGCTCTGACGATGTTTTAGTGTGACAGTGACTTTCCTCAAAAGACAAATATCCAAAATGCAAAGCTCCTGCCTAAGACTAGTTGTGGAGGCATATCTCACGGCACAAGACGGGACTTTCAAGGGGACTGCTGCCAATCTCTCAGAGACCATAACAGGCCATGTAAAATACAGATCCACAAACTCTAGTAATAGTGCACAGAGTTCTCCAAATGTTTCTCTATCTCCTCTCAAAATAGAATTTAGATTACCTGAATGTCTTTTCTGCTTGTTTGAAAAGGGCATGACCTTCAAGTTTTTAATGGTTCCTCCGATCAAAAGCAAGAGTGACGGTGGTGTTTGAAATGGATTAGCAACCTTAAAATACTTACATAGCTTGTCAATGGGTTACAGACCAACATCAGAAACAAAGACGCATTTCACCATGACATGGAAAAATACTCAAATTTTATATAGTAATTCAAACTTTTTATTACGTTTTGATTTTTACAAAAATATTTTTTTTTAAAATAAGTACATGAGAATTGAGTTTTTTTTCCCCAGAGGCAAGACAGCACAGATTATAAATATGGCCTGTGTGGCTCTACTGCATGGGTCCAAATTCGAGGTCCACCACTGACTTCTGTGTGACCTCGGGCAGCTCCCTTGTCTCATCCCTCCTCCACTTTCTCACCTATCACAGGGACACCACAGTACCTATTTGTGTGGTTTTGGGACCAGACCAGATAATGTGTGCAGGATCAGAACAGCACCCAGCACTATTGGGCAGAATCAGGCACATCAACCCCTATTTCCAGAGACGCCTTATTTTCAAACTGAAATAAGGACTTGAAATGGATAATTAACTTTGGTTTCTTGACAGTCTTTTAAAAAGTGACATGGGAGTTTTTCAGTCCATAGTATATTACTGACTGTTGCAAAACTCAACCTGTGACTGAATATCAATGCTGGAGAGCCATGTGGTCCTGCAGGTGGAAACCTCAGTGGAGACTCCAGATTCTGACAGCTGGGCTGCTGGCCCTTCTCAGGAAGGAGGTGTGTGCTACGAAGAGCCAGAGCCTCAGAAAGAATTTGGCAGAACGTGGTCCCTGACCCAGGGTCCTGCTTCTGATACAGGCCCTTTGACTAGAGATGTGACCCCAAGATGTGCTTTGGGTCCTGCTGGCATGCAGGAGACTTTCATTAGCGCTAGAAAGCCACCCATTTGACAGGGGTTTATAACCTGGCAATGTACGACTGGCAGGGGAAGGCATTTTTGTGTCTGACACTGAGCCAATCGCTGACCATGCAGAGGAATCAGGGAGGCCTGCATGTGTTGATTTAGAAGTGTTCTTTTTCTTCACACAGGGATTATAATTATTCTTAAAATTACGATACAAACGTGATGCACATTAAAGACAGTGTAGTTCTGAAAACCATTTTCCAACTGTGACTCACAGAGCATACACGTTTCTCACAGGACGCTGACCCAGCAAGGCTGGCACACTGGCTGCACTCAAGCAGTGAGGAACCAGAGGCAGCAGAAGCTACACAGGCCCAAAGCCCATTCCTAGGTCCATGCTCCTTCTTGACCTGCACCCAGATCCATCACAGGATGAAGCACTGCACTCTACTCATGCATAAGCACATTTCCAAAAGGGGGCTCTTTGGCTCTGCCACAATATTTTAAAATACATTCATCCAATTTCATAAACCTATAAAGTAGGATTGCAGATAGAAGACTAAAATTCACGAAGGGCAAGGATATTAGTAATGAAATTCAACTAATCATTCTTCAGTAAACATTAAAATAAAGTCAAAATCATGCCAGGCATAATATAGAATTTCACTGAAATTCTGGTCATAAAAATGTTTTAGGTGTGATAATGGTATTGTGGTTATGTTGAAAAAAAAGTTCTTATGTTTAAGTTACCTACTAAGAAATTCATAGATTAAGAGGAAAAAAAATTGGATTTAAAAACAAGGCAGGTACAAGACAGATTTAACTGATGTTTCTGTTGAATTCAGGCCTCCAGTAGATGGGGCATGCAGACACCACCAGGAAGGTGTGCTTCCTTAGCTGAGATCCACAGAGTGGGAAAGGTAGGTAGATGGCTGGCACTCGACAATGTGCCAGCATTTTATAACCTACCATTGTTTCTGTGTACAGAACAAGGAGGGACAAAACAAAAAATTCTAAATACTTTCAAACATTCAAACTGAGGAAATGGTATTTTGATGGAAATAAGACAAACTCAACTTTTTAAAAAAAGGTGACCAAAGTTTCATCAATTAAGACTAAATGCAATGGACTTGGATTATAATAAATTATTAACAATGAGCAGGGTGCAGAAAATTAAATTCTCAGAAGTATTTAAAATATACTGTTGTACTTTCTATTTTTCTTCCATGAGGATACAGTACATTGGATTCAGGAAGAAAAAATAAAAATTGCTGGTAAAAGTCAAAGGGACTATGGAAGAGCTGGAAATGGACCAGAAGTCATGCTCTATCAGAGTCATAATGGAAGATGGTGCCTGCTCTAAACTTGCTCTTCACAGTCATGAATGGACACCTGCATCCTGGTCTGTGGTCAAGCAAAGCCTGGGAAACCACAGATGAATCTCAGAGACACTGAAGAAAGTCAGTCACATAGACAGTCTTTATACTCTGTCTCGCTTCTATGTTGGAGTTGGCATTTAGAAAATACAGATGGAACCACTTCAGGGCTAAATGTTAAGTCAAAGGCTGTATCGTTATTGAAGTTTCATCTAAAACCTGTGACAGATGTGAACACTGCTAGAAAGAAATGAAGACTCAAATTACCCAGCTAGTAATTTCATTTTTTCATGCTCGGGAAGCTGACTGATGCATTTACTTTGTGTTCCCTTTCTCTATGATTAAAATTAAAATCTTACTTTTTGATGAATTTTGATTCTTGGGCTTCAGTGGCAGTCCTTTTCCACTCTTTCCTGATTCTGCAGAGAAAGAAACTGCAGGGGCAAGTCCTCGAAACACTCGTGCTTCTAGGACCAGGGTCTGAGAAAAGAATTAACAAATATGGACATTTTAGAGCAATGCCATTTATAAAAGCTATTACATCAGATGAGCACTATGTACTACTGCCATGCATGAGAGTTTTGCTTTACATTCCTATGGGATAGTTCTACGGTCATCACAATGCTCATAACATAAAGGTATTATAGAAATTTTGGAAAATACAAAAAAGCTATCAGAAAAAACACCGGAGCTCAAGGACAGTACTATTAACATTTGGGTACCTCTCCAAAACTCTCTCCTGTGCATGCTTTTTGGTATTCTCCCACTACCGGTTAACCTGCAGAATAAGTTGATTCTTTTTGTAAAATGTTTTCCTATCCTTAGAACCTCAAGTATAAGAAATATTATCTGGCTATTAAAAATTACACAGATGCATAATTACTGCTTCAAAAGTGTTTACAATATTAAAATAGCAAACATTTTCACCAGGACTGCAGGGGGCGGCCGTTGGGCCGCGCCCCTGGCCTGGGCCCCTTTACCTTCAGCGCCCCGACTCGTCCTTGCCGCAGCAGAACTGCGGCAGCCATTGCAGCAGATGCGAGAATGGACCGCGGAGTCGCATCCGGAAGTACGCGCTGCTGCGAGCGCACCGCCGCCGAGGGCCCGCCCCCTGGGACCAGAGAGCCAATGACAGGCGGGGGCGGGGCGGGCAGAGGCCGGGTCCTGCGCGCGCATCCCGGCCTCCTCCTGGCCTTTTCCCGGGCTGCGGCGCGCGGACACCGTGATCGCGCGCCTCTCGCTGTGCAGATTTCAGACCGTGCCGGGGCATTCCGGTCCTGACCTCCAGTCCTGTCGCGACGCCCCTTGGCACATTGCATCCGCCCTCCCACCGCAACTCGGCCCAGCCTCGGATGGCTTGGTCCCTGTGGTCCCCTCCTTGTTGACTGCCATCCTGTAGGCGACCGTGGGCGGGCCGGACTTAAGCCAGCCCGCGCTAGGCCGATCAGAAACGCAGGCTTTGTTTTCTGTGAGTGTTTAAGCTGCAGTGCAGATTTCCTCCCAAGGGAGGCACAATTGTGAGTAGGGGCAGCCGTCGGCTGATACCTCCCTGCCCCACTCTTGCCTTGCCTGGGGCCTAACTCCTGACCTCCACTCGGAAGAGGACCCCAACCTTGACCAGCAGCTGCAGTCCTTCAGCCAGCAAGCTACTTGGGCAGGAACAGGTGCCCCCAAGGCGCTTGTCAAAGGGGACTGGGATCAAGCGGATGCAGCGAAGTTGGCTACCATGCACACAGGAAGGCAAAGACAACGACTTTCGATCTCGGTAATAATGAGAAAGGAGCCCTTTGTCCCTACACGGAGAAAAGAAAATAGGCTAGCAAGAATTATCCTTTGCCGAGACCAATTTAACTCTGTTGTCTCCAGGGGAAAGTTCTCCCTTGTCTTTGTAAAGTGTGCACACTTTATAGGTGATTAAGAGAACTGAAGGTGATGAGCCAACGCTGCCTCTTGGGGAACCTGTCTGGAATTGGCAAGTCCACATCACGCTCAGGGGGTTGGGAGCCCCCAGTTCCTTCCCAGCAGGAGCAGGGTACAATCAGCTAGAGGAGGCTTAAGTTGTACGACAAGAACAAAATGACCCCACCCTGCAGTGGGATGGGGTGTGGTCACCAGCCAGAGAGGTTTTGGAGGGAGGGCACATATGCCTGAGGGGAGCTCTGGGGAGGCAGAGGTTCAGTGAGCAAGGGGGAGCCATCTCCATGGTTTCAAAGACGCTGGGTGAGTTGCAGGGAGGTAACTATGGCAGCAGTAAGATGAGGCCGAAGCCTGGAGAGAGGGACCATCAGGAGGCCACTGCTCTCAGGTGGGGAGGTTAGTGCAGAACTGCTGTAACCAAAGGGAAAAGAAATGACATATAAAGTGCAAGAAGCAAATAGAAGGTGCTGCAGAAGAATCAAAGGAGCAGAGGATGGCGAGAGGGCGGTGCTTCAGTAAGAATTTGTGGAGAGGGGATGATACCCAATCAGCTGGAAAACTGGACAACAGAGGTTGTTTCTCCAATGGTTAATTCTCTGCCCAGAGTCTTCCTGCAGACACCCATTACCTCTGCCTGGAGCTCCAGCAAGTAGTGACCCAACATTTATAGACAAAACATCAAAACTTATGTTTGTCCATAATCTTTTATTAGTCACATAAAGTTCTGTCCAAACTATTAGAAATCCCTTTTTATGTCTCTTAAGGGTGAATTAAATTTAAGATGAGTAGATCATGGAGCATCATTTGGACATAAATCTTGACTTGATGGTGTTTAGCCCAAAAAGGAAAATAAAAATACTCAGACATTACAGCATCTGTGTGATGCTCTGGCTCAGCATTCTTGTCTAATACATACATTGTTTTTAAGCTCCAATGGAAATGTATTATGCCATTATTCTCTGTAAATTAGTACAATTTAGTCATATGTTTTAAAGTAAGATTTGTTTATAAAACTTTCAATAATATGACTTTAAAGTTTTGTTTAGGATGACCATAGGTACTATGGTTCACTAAGTAAGATACTTCTTAAAAATTTGAAGTATAGTGGATGTACAATATCATATTAGTTTCAGCCAATTTCAGTGGCCCTCGCTGATACTCAAAAGTTTACTGCCTATGTTTTATGTTAGGATTCTATGATTTCAGGTCTTACATTTAGGTCTTTAATCCATTTTGAGTTTATTTTTGTGTGTGGTGTTAGACAGTGATCCAGTTTCATTCTCTTGCATGTAGCTGTCCAGTTTTCCCAATACCATCTATTGAAGAGACTGTCTTTTCTCCACTGTATACTCTTGCCTCCTTTGCCATATACTAATTGATAACATAAGCAAGGGTTTACTTCTGGGCTGTCTATTCGGTACTATTGATCCGTGTCTGTTTTTGTGCCAGTGCTAAATTGTTTTGATTGGTGTTGCTTTGTAGTATAGTTTGAAATCAGGGAGTGTGAGCTTCTTTGTTCTTTGTGCTCCACCTTTGCTCTTCTTTCTCAAGATTGCTTTGGGTGTTTGGGTTCTTTTATGGCTCCATACAAATTTTAGGATTATTTGCTCTAGTTCTTTGAAAAATACCATTGGTATTTTGGTAGGGATTGCATTGCTTTGGGTAATATGGCCATTTTAACAATATTAGTTCTTCCTATCCATGAGCATGGGATAGAGTTCCATTTATTTGTCAACTTCAATTTTTTTATCAATGTCTTATAATTTTCATAGTACAGATCTTTCACCTCCTTGGTTAGATTAATTCCTAGGTGTTTTATTCTTGGTACAATTGTAAATGGTATTGTTTTCTTAATTTCTCTTTCTCTATTTTGCTATTTGTGTATAGAAACAAAACAGACTTCTGTATATTGGTTTTGTATCCTGTTACTTTGCTGAATTCATTTATTAATTCAAATAGTTTTTTGGTAGAGTCTTTACAGAGTTGTCTATATGTAGTATCATGTCATGTGCAAATTATGACAATTTTACTTCCTTATCAGTTTGATGCTGTGGGTAAAATTGTAACTTTTCCAGAATATCTTGCCTGGTCTTGGTACATCTGTATATCAACAGGCGTTCAGAGGTGGAAAGAAGTATGGCTTTAGTGCATTTGCATCTTTCCTCAGGGGTGGACAAGTTCATCTCCATATCAATGGGTAATTACCTGGGCAACGGAGGGCTGTTCAGTACTTGAGAGGTGAGGGGAGGGCCAGTTTTGCTGCTGCTTGAGCAGGAGAGAGAGATGGGCTGGACTGCAGTTTTGTAAGCAATAAATGGATTTTAAACTTTATTTCTCCCTTTGACTGATTTCTGTTTTTAGAGGTATTTTGCCCTGGGATTTCCTTTCCCCAGACTTACAGATGCCTTTTCTTTCTTTTTCATCTTATTGCTGTGGCTAAGGCTTCCAGTACTATGTTGAATCAAAGTGTTGGGGGTGAACGTCCTTCTTTTGTTCTTAATCTTAGAGGAGAAGCTTTCACCTTTCACCACAGAGTTTGATATTACCTGTCAGTTTGTCATATGTGACCTTTATTATGTTGAGATATGTTCTCTCTATACCCACTTTGTTGAGAGAGTTTATCATGAATGGAGGTTTAAGAATAAAAACAGGTAGCTTAGCAAACAGGAAAAGTAAAGTAAAAGTGTTTTTTTTTTTTTTGTCAAAACAAGGAAATAAGGAAAGTTAAAAAGAAATTTGATGTACCTAAAACTATTTTAAAACACAGGTGATAACTTATTTTTCTGGAAATATTTGGCCACTGGATATATGAAAAACCCATGGGCTACAGAATATTTAGCAGTGCTGCATAAAATATTACAAGCACAGTTTCAAATGACCACTTGTGTTCACATATCCAGTTCTGTTTGCTCTTGTCTGTGACGGCTCATGTTCATGATTGCTGTGCAGCAGTGTGCTTGAAGCCCACATATTTCTGGGCTCTTATCTGTGGGGATTCCCAAGCCCTGGGTTGAGTACGTATTCCTCCTGAGTGGATTTGGTTTTTGTATCCACCAAGCTCTTGTGAATGCTACCTATCTTGGTTTAATGTGATCATTTTCTTCATAGTTGGGACTGTCCTCCACAGGAACTGTGTGTCCTCCAAGGCCAAAAACAACGAAACAGGACATCTCAAGTATCCACCACTGTACTGGGAGCATTTACCAATCTCTGAAGCCAAAGTCTGGTTTACCTGACATCTGGAGAAGAGACAGGACTTTGGGCCCGTGAACACTTGGGAATGGGCTGGGAAGGACCAGAGGAAGCCCTATCAGAGCTGCTACTCAGTGACAGGGTGAACTTGTGCAAAGCCACCTGTTAGCAAAGAAAAGCCACAGGAGATATGTCTATATCAGCCTGGGCACTAGGTGGGGAAAAAAATCTCAAAGCCTACTCTCTTGAGTGTAGTGTTAAAACACACACACACTTCCCGTGGTCCAGGACATTCCAAGCTATTTAACTACATTAAAATTGAAATTTCTGTTTAGTAAAAGGCACTATAAAAAGTAAAAAGCAAGGAGGCGGAGCCAAGATGGCAACTTGAGTAGAGCAGTGGAAATCTCCTCCCAAAACCATATATATTTTTGAAAATACAACAAATAAAACTCTTCCTAAAAGAGAGACCAGAAGACACAGGACAACAGCCAGACTACATCCACACCTGCGAGAACCCAGCACCTCGCGAACGGGGTAAGATACAAGCTGCGGCCCAGTGGGACCCGAGAGACCCACACCCCAGCTCCCAGTGGGAGGAGAGGAGTCGGAGTGGGGAGGGAGAGGGAGCCCAGAAGTGCTAAATACCCAGCCCCAGCCATCCACACTGGGAGCACAGACACAGTGCGTGGGGTGCTGGACACTAGGGAAATGGGACAGTAAGACCTGTGAGCGGGTTCCCACAGCCCGTGCCCCTGGGACAAAGAAGAGTGAGTGCTTTTTGAAAGTCTTAAAGGGAAAGGGACTCCACAGCTGGATGGAAGCATCCCAGGACACTTAGCCCAAAGGCTGGGAATCCCGAGGAATTCCAGGCACCCTAACTCCCTGGGAGGTAGCACAGCTTGGAGGCCCCTCACAGAGATAAACAGCCTCCCGGCCGTTTCCCCTCCAACGCAGCTCCCCTGTATCAGACCAGCAGCCTGAGGCAGGTCACACCCATAGCAACAGCAGAGCTTAACTCCACAG